ATTCAGATTTTATCTTGACTTTCCAAATTATTATTTATTTTTTAATAAATTTCAATATGCTAATGATTTTCATGTTACATTAGTATAAATTCCACAATTAGCACAGGAAAACAAAATCCGCGCTTTATATTAGAAGGGAAATTTCTTTTCCATATTCAAAACATCTACATTGGCGATGTTTGGCGACGGGTACATTAACCCTAGACTAATTTAATTATAGCTATTATTACACAAATTAGCAGATACTCAGGTTATTGTAAACAAGAATTTCACTTTACTTGCACATTATAAACATCAGAGAAGATATAAACTCTAAATGAAGGCGTAATTAACATTATACTTACTAAGCAAAGTTCAGCGCCTGGACCAGGTTTCCAATTGTCTCTTCGGCAATTATTTACCCATATTTTTCTTCTTTCTTCATTTTTAGGAAATTTTACCAATGTATGACCTTTCCGTGAATGATTTGAACAATTAATAGCTGTACATCCGCCCATTTTACACAAAAAAAAAACACAAAAAATTGTTGCACCTTAACCACTCAGCCGCCATTAAATCTCCCACTTGGGAGCGCGAATGCCTGATGATTCAGCCTGGTATATAGGAGCCTTACGTCGACCAATCAAAGCGAAGCTAAAACGAAGCGTCTTTCTTTAGACGATTTCGCTGTCACATCGAAAGCGACATTTTTTTTTTTAATATGGAGCACATCGTATCCGAACGAAATAATGAGTTGATCTCGCAAGAAATCTACGATGATGACATTCATTTTTTAATGAGTTTTTAATGCATTTTTAATGAGTTTTTCAATTTATATTGAAAAATATGGATGAAACTCGTAAAGCGAAAATTAAGCTCAGGATTATGCAGCTGTGTATGATCCTGTAGATGATTGATCCCATCCAATATTTTTCATTTTATTATAAAAATTCTTTAAAAAATGCATGCTTGTTAAAATTGTATTATTTCTGTGTAAATTATTATTATTACTTTCTTTCTGCTTATAATTTTTTTTAATTATTACTATCATTTTTTTCCTATTTAATTATTTTTGTATTTAAGAGTAAATTTATGGAAAAAGCTGGAAATATTGTATTGCTATTTGCTTCAAATGCTGATTTTCTTTCCAAACAAACTTCATGAATTAATTTTACTAAAATATCAAATCAATATCAAGAATCTGCTGTTTTTTTAACAGTAAAAATATTACTTTAAAAAAAAAGAAAAAATTATTTTCACTTATTTAAGAATAGTCACAATAGTCAATTCAATGGTGTAAGCTTTGTATAAGTAATAAAAGATTAATCTTTTGAGAAAATGTTCTTATGAATTCCAAGAAGGAAAACGTGTAGTGAAATATCCGTAAAACAACAGTCAACAGTCTAGACAGTTTTGTCTCCTGTTGAAGTTCTGTTGTGTTTTTTAATTACGTTCTCCATGAAAGGAATTTACTTTTAATGAAACTGAATAGCACACATAATTCATAACATGGACTATAATTTAATGAATAGTATTTGTTATTATTATCCACACTTTATTACTATAATTTGAATGGAATTTTGATCATTAAATTCATGCTATATCTCTGGTAGAAATTCCTGGATAAGGTATGAATGTTTATAATTTTGTTGTATTTGAAGACTTGGGTACCTAAAATTTTTCAATGTGAAATTACTTTTGAGATTTGGTCGTAAAGAGAAATCACAGCATATGTTGAAATTAAATTCAGGGGTGCGGCTTATACATGCAAATTATTAGAAATAGATATATACAAACAGCTGGCAGCACAGCAAAATGTATTTAATGATTGAGCATAAAATACATTGTTGGATGAACGTTTCCGAGTATTGTACTAGTTGTGGTTGCTAGTCATTGTGAACAGTTGTGGGATACTAGTACTAGTGATAATTGATACTGGTAGTGCAACCAACTACTATAGTGATCGACAGGGACAGTGAATAAGGAGTGCTAAGCACACATGTTTCACTGTCACAGAAACATGTTCCTTTTGATTGAAAATTTTAAAAAATAATAATAATATATGGTAAGTACTGTTTTTAGCTTAACTGCTTTCACACCTGCAAAATAGAAAAATATTATATAGAGGCTTTAGTTATCCTCAAGATTTTTTTAATTAGGCATATTTAGAATATCGTATTTCTCCTAAGAGAAATTATATATAAAAATTGAAGAAGGTTTTATATATATAAATATGCATGCGCGTGTTTATAGTATAGAGAGTACTGCAGTACAATACAGAAATATTCTATACTGCTTTGCACAGAAATATATGTGCCAACCAAGTATTGGTCTTTCAAAAAAATATCTCTAGACCATTTCGTTCTTTTTCTTTTTCTTTTACCTTCTTCCGTTGCCTCTTGGCTTATAACAAGTGCAGATAAAAGAGCATTCTGTTGAACCAGTAAAACTTTGTGGTGAGCTGAAAAAGCCATGTCACAAAATAACAAAAACAAGCAGAGCGAGCACGAGAAATCAATTGAGATAGAAAACAGCGCGCGAAAGGTGTAGACACATCCACGCATGCGCAAATTTAGCTTCTCGCATTGGCCACAGCTTAGACCCGTCTCGCAGGTGTGAACGGATGTCCCGTATTTTATGCCCTTATGACTATGGCTCTATGCGCTTTACGTCCACGCCTGAACGCAGCTTAAGGGGCGGAATGCTATTGTGGCATTTCTTATACTTTGCAATTGCTTTCCATAGGAAGTTATGCTCTGTAGAGAGAGAATTTAAGTATTTAGTCCAGTTGAGTTATCCTTGTACATTTGTAAGAGACTTGACTGCATTATTTAACTTGTTGAATCTCTGCTTGTCATCTCTGTGTCTTGTTCTTTGAAACTGCTTCCTAGCAGCATTTCGTTCCTTGATGAGTTTAGCAAGTTCTTTAGTCCTTTTTTTACTTTTGACACTTTGATTTATTTTTTGGCAAATTCATGAACATTTTCAATACCTTGATTAAACTGTTAATGTCTTCCCCCGAGCGTATCACTGGAGTGGTGTAATGCATGTTGTGCAGAGCTTTGGTGTATTTATGCCAGTCTGTAGTAAATGCTCTGTTATCTGGTGAGGTATAACTGCTTATATTCATTATCATTCTGACCGGATTATGGTCAGACGAGAGTTCACCCAATACAGAAATATCCAGCAGAACGCTGGTATTTCTGAGAAGCAAGAAATCGATGATTCCTGTAGAATTTGCAGCATACCGTTTTGGGGTTTTCGGAGCTGATATGTGTAATCCCACCGTAGAGGCTAAGTCATTGATTACAGTGCCAATGGTGTTAGAATTATAGCATTTCCACACGTTGTGTCGTGCATTTAAATCTCCGCCTACTATAACATGTGTACCAAGTGTAAGTAGAATACGTATGTCAGCCTTGACCTGTAACAGATCTCGGCGTGGTGGAATATAAGTGGAAATAAAAGTGTATGTTATGGAAGTGTTGGTTTTGAGTGAAATAGCTGGGGCCTCTATGGCTGAAAGCTGTGGTATTGTAACCGGATAGTGGGGATACAGCACTTAATAAGGATTGAAGTTCCTCCAGCTCTGACTTGAGTCAGTCTATGTGATCTGTAGACACAGTAATTATCAATGTACATAGGATCAGCTGGGCTAAGTTTGTGCTCCTGTAGGAACATAAGATCTAAGCCGTACTCATTTATAAAGTCCCGCCGCTCGTTAAGCTTACGGGATAGCCCGTTCGCGTTCCATGTAATAACATTAATACAATCATAAATAATACTAGACATTATTTTGCATTACAACATGAAAAAAAAATTCTTCAAATAGAAAAAAGTATAAATAATTTATCTATGGCATTATCACATGCTCGTTATTCAGGCATTTTGTCTGAAATTTTCTTTAGGATGTTCATCAGGGAAAAGCCTTTCAACATGTTACCAATCAGTAAGGGCGCTAAGGCCCAGGTTTTACATTTTTAGATTTAACAGTGGCAGTTTTACCATTGTCATTTTTTGCCTTATTAGTTACATCATTAAATATATTATCAATAACATTAGTATTTTGAACCATACTAGCATATGATTTACCCGACACAACATTTCGCCAGCTTACTATTAGTAACGTCCTTATTTGAGTTTGCATTATCCACAGATTTAACATGCTTAATTATATTATGAAATTTAGGACACCCACGACAGTCGCAGTGTGTCCTATTTGCTGGCAATAGCAACACTTAACTATGCCAAGACGCTTTGCAGAACAGTCCACAGTATTGTGTGGCCCCGCACACTTTACACACCGCGGCTTGAGTTTACAGTCTTCAGACGAGTTGTTGAATTGCTGACAATTATGGCACTGTATTAACCCCCTTCAGTCTTGTACACAACAATCTACATATAAAAACGTAATAGTATTTTGATATCATAGATCTGCTCAACCTCTGGCAGTTTTTCTATTTGCGCCTGGAAGAGGGACATCGGTACCGTAGATTTTACGCGATGCAGTTAGGCTACCTTTGTAACTTTGAAGCCACGATTTATCAGTTCCTCGTGAACATCTTCGACGGGGCAGTCAATGGGGAGTCCTCGAATGACTACTTTCAGTGGCCTTTCTAATTTGGTAGTTATGATGTAATGATCTATTTTCCTTTCGTCAAGGTAAAGTGTAATCATCCTATGTTCATCTTCACTACCAGCGAAAACTTTTAGAAACTCTCCGCTAATTTTGGCAGAAATATCTAATTTTTTGTCATTTTTAAGAATTTTTACAAAGTCACTAAATTTATTGCAGGTTTGATCATAATTGGTTTAATTTCGGAGTTTGAACTATAATACAATCACCCTGGTCTGGGTATCAATGCGGTGCCATTAGCCACTGTGCTGAGGCAGGCAATGGCTGAAGGGTAGCAGCTGAGGGATTGCGGATAGGAGCCTTAATTGCGGATGGCAGTTTTTCATTATAGGGAAAAATCAAGGGATAAAAGGTTCTTTGGAGATATTTGATGAATTAAGAATGAATCGTTCGCAAGTGACTCGGCTGTAGGTGCTTCGGTTGCGTGTTACTGTAATCGAAAGATAATTTTATCGGAAGATTTATGTAATAATAAAAGCATTTATGGAAAATCAAAAGATTAGATAATATATATGTTAAAAAGTCTCTGTTAATCATTTATTGGTTTTTTAGTTAGAAATCCCGGAACCGAAAGAGTTTTGGTGTAAGGTGAAGTATAAAATTTTGTGGCTTAAAGCGTACATTATGTTGATTTTTCCTGCACATGCTTTTAAATTATATGTTTAATTTTTTTCACTTATATATTTTGAAACAGAAGGGAAAGGAAGTTAACAATTTTTTTATAATTTAAAGCTGCATGAAAACTGGCATAATTTTTAATCTGTAATTTGCAGTGCATAAATCATTGATGCCGAATGTTTTTAAATGTAGTTAGAGCAAATTGAAGTATAAATTTGTTTTAAAATTATCACTGAGTACAGCTGAAGTATTTTTTTAAGATTTTGTTAGTACATGAATATAACTTTATATAAAATTCGCAAAGCAACAACCTTGTGTTTGGCGTAGATTTAGTCAAGAACTCAATCCATTTCTAGGGCGATCAGGTACAGGTCCCTCTTCATCAAGAGCAGAGATATATGCAAGACCCAGATTTCTTTGCTTCTGATGACGAGGGACCTGTACCTGGTTGCCCTCGAAATCTATACCAAACACAAGGTTGACTAAATTTATTCCAAACACAAGGCTGTTGCTTTGCTAATTTTATGTTTTACTTTGGCTTGTTTTTCTTCTGCTTTGATAATCTTTATATTCAAAACGCAATTTTTTTTCAGAAAATGGCTTCCATTGAGAAAATTGCCCCTATTGCTGGAGCAATTCTTCTTCCTCATGTGGGTGGTATAACTGCCGCATTTATTACTAGAAAAGAAGTGAAAACATGGTATGAGGTATGTTGCTAAATCCAGTTTTGGTAGGTGTTTCCAGAATATTTGAATAGTGCTTCTACCTGTACACACAATAAAAACATAAAAATGCAATGAAGCATACAATAAATGATATTTGTCTTGTGAACAAAGTGTTGTATATAAAATGTTTATCTTATGTAATAAAGATAAGAATTTGTGTATTGATTGGTACTGGAATCTGCACCAAGTAAAGATTCCAAAACCAGCAAATAACCAGAGACTGGTTGCTGATTTGGAAACTGAGGACTTTGGTTCTGCTTGTATTTCAGTAATAAAAATTTCTCAGACTTGCATATGCAAGATAAAACTATAGCAGGTTTACCTGTCATATCCAGTTCTTTTTGGTAAAATTTGAATCGCATTAGCTTGTTTAATTGTTGTGAATGATATCCATTTTACAGATGTTATCCAGATTTACTTCCAAGTATTTTTTTTTTTTCCTAATTCTTACCATCCATCTAATTTTCGCTATGTTGGACTTTTTCAGCATGTTTTTTCCAATGATGTGGAATTTCACATAATTGGAATTGGAACATTTTTGTCTCTTCAGTAATATTTATGATTTTGGGAAAAACAGATAATTTCTGTTTAATTATTTTGAAAATCTCAGAGACTTGTAAAGACAATAATGAATTGGGAAAGCTATCAAAGATAATGTACTAAGTTAGCAAAATTTTAGGGCACCTCAGTGCCATTTGAAGTACCTAGAAGTGGTTAATATGAATGTATTCATTATAGTGTAGAACAGATGTCTGATATCAAAATTTAATTTAGGATGGACTTGTCGAGAAAACCATTTGGCTGTAATTCAGTTTTTGCTTAATAAGTTGTAATTTGGTAATGTCAGTCTTTGTAACACTGTTTTCAAGAATAAATGGTAATTTTGAAACTTCAAGAGACTGTACTTAGGAATATTAATGTTGCTAGAAAATGGCACAAAAAAATACATTGGTAGGAAATTCCATTGTGGTCTTGTTTGGAATGAAGTCTGCTGTGTTAAGGAAATGTAAACAAAAGTAAGATAATTTGAAATTTGCAGTATCATGCAAGTATTGTACATATGGAAAGGAAAAGCATATCCTATGTATTTAAAACTTTATTTTTAATTTAGCATTTAACATGGCATGAAATCTAGAGGTGGCAACTCTAACATAAAGCTTCATGAAAAGAATTACTATGTTTTTAAATCCAGAATAAATTCACAAAAAAAAAAAAAAAAAAAAAAAAAAAAAAAAAAAACTTCTATGAAAATCAAAAACAGATTTCACCTGATTAATATCAGATTAGGTAGGAGGTATAAAACTGCTGATATTGTTGGTACTTTTCCATTTCGCTGATACAAATCTCGCCAAGCAGACTTTATTGGCAACAACATATGGTATACACGTAAAAAATGTTAACAAGTGTTAGTTCTAAGAATTTTTTTATTTTGAAGGCATAACCATTTTAATATCATTTAAAATTTTGTAGAAAGGCAATAAGTAAAGACAATAAATTTGTAAAAAGACCTTAATTTAAGAATTTACTATGCTTTCATGGTACAACATCTTCATTTTTATATATAAAAAAAAAAAAAAAAAAACTCTCAAGTCTTTCTTTTTCTTTTTTTTTTTTAATATGGTATGAATTGGGAGAAAGGGGTAGAACTTTGGATATTTATAGGAGACTGTCAGTGACAAGATTACTTAATACGAAAATTGCATTTGATAGAATTTAGTATTTCTGCTTACAGATACCTGTTATGCTTCATATAACCTTTAAACAAATATTTAGGTACTTAACTAAGTACCTTTTATTAATTTCAGTTTTCAGCATTTTGACATTTTGAAGGTGCTGCTTCAAGATTGTTCAACAGCATGCTATGCCAACTGGTTGTAAAGGCTGTAAAATTAGTTGAATCATCTACAATTTAGTGCAAATGTGATCTTATTATTAAGTTGTGAGTAATATGCCTTCAACCAAAAATAACAGTTAAATCCTAACTAAAAGTCAGTGCTGAAAGTGCAGTGTAGTGTTGAAAATATTGAAACAAACTACAAAAATCATAGCTGGCTATTGGATTGAGTACAAAGAAAACAATGTTATTGAGCGTCTGCCTCCTTCTTTCTTTTATTTTAACAGAAGGGCTTTAAATAGTTGAATGTGATCACTTTCTTCAGTTGCAACCATTGCAGATTAAGAAGGTGCTAATCTTCAGTCTTATAATGAATGATAATGGGTACTTTATTTTTAATTTAGCATTTAACATGGCATGAAATCTAGAGGTGGCAACTCTAACGTAAAGCTTCATGAAAAGAATTACTATGTTTTTAAATCCAGAATAAATTAAAAAAAAAAAAAAAAAAAAAAAAAAAAAAAAAACTTCTATGAAAATCAAAAACAGATTTCATCTGATTAATATCAGATTAGGTAGGAGGTATAAAACTGCTGATATTGTTGGTACTTTTCCATTTCGCTGATACAAATCTCGCCAAGCAGACTTTATTGGCAACAACATATGGTATACACGTAAAAAATGTTAACAAGTGTTAGTTCTAAGAATTTTTTTATTTTGAAGGCATAACCATTTTAATATCATTTAAAATTTTGTAGAAAGGCAATAAGTAAAGACAATAAATGTGTAAAAAGACCTTAATTTAAGAATTTACTATGCTTTCATGGTACAACATCTTCATTTGCTGGTTCATATGATGTGATCCCAAGTGATCTCATCTCACGTAAAATGTGCTACAAAAATCTAATTCTCTCGGTAATTATCTACATTAATTTCAAGTTAAATCTTATTACGGAATCAAAGTTTAAATGCAAGAATCATTTTAATTAGTACGAATAGCTTACTCAGAAATTATGTGAAACTTTGCTAGTGCATTCTCATTAGAATTTATGAATTTAACCCTTGACTTTGCCTTTTCTATATTTTTGCCTTCAGGTAAGCGGTGATTGCATCCTAATTGACTTAATTACCGGTAATGGCCTCGGGGCATAAAGTTGAACTATCTGGTAAAAATTCTATGTAATTGTATGCCAGTATTGAAAGGAACAATCAATCTGATAAGAAACGACTTATTTTGAAAATGAGACAGAAAAGGTTATCAGTGAGGATATTCCATTTGGCATGGGTTGTACCTTTTTTGGCGACTTTTATCGCCTGCGCCGGCAAAATGGAAAAGTACCATTTTGTTTAACATAAAACATTTGCAGGTACTTTCTGAATATCTTCAATTCAGATTTTAAAATTTGATAAAAATGCCAAGTATTTTGGCTTTCTTTCAAGTGTACAGTAGCCACCTTGCACAAACGCACACCAGATATGTGATTAAGTACAGGTAGATAACACATTTAACATTTACTGTCATTTTGCTAAACAGTTGTAAAAATGTAAATACTTGTTATATAGATTTTAATGTTTTGCTCATAAGATTTGTTTCTTATAAAATGCTTCATTTTGTGAAGAGAACAGTATCTGTATATCAGTAAAGATAGTTAAACATATAAGAAAACATCTTCATTTATCATAAGGTTATAAGGTTCAATCAGAAGGTATTGCCAGGTTACATTAAGTTACATTGAAAATTTACCATGAGTTGGTGACTTTTCATGAAGGCGTGGATAATCAGAAAGTGCCCATTTGCATTTTTGTACAGCCACTGCCTCATGGATTCGATGAGGTAAGAATGTGGATGTTGTGACCAGTGCAATTTGGTATATGGCATTCCATATCGAGATTAATAACACTGTATTTGTGATCAACTTGCAGATGTTCATATCTGGTAGCTGCTGATTCATCCTCTTAAGTTGCAAAAAATCTAGCATCTTTCCTCCTATTTAGTTTGGAAAAATGGAGCAAAAGTTCCAGGATTGATATTCATTGCACAGCTATTCATGTGATATAAACAAAATGCCAGCTATTCATGTGATATAAACAAAATGCCACATTTGATGACTAATATCACATTTACAAAAGAGTACCTGTTAAAATTTAGTATGTAGTATTTTGTGTGAGAATATAAGAGGTTAACATCTTTCTTTTTTTCACTTTTACTGGATATTTAAAAAAATATAAACAAAATTAAGTAATTATGAAGAAATAACTTTAAATTTGATTTTATTTTAAATTTATTAGACATTAAGACGTCCATCATGGAGACCACCTAACTGGATGTTTGCTCCAGTCTGGACTAGTTTGTACACTGGCATGGGAGTAGCCTCATATTTAGTATGGAAAGATGGTGATGGTTTTCAAGGTCCAGCAAAGTTACCATTAATATTATATGGAACAAACCTTATTCTTAATTGGGCATGGACACCTATATTCTTTGGAGCACATAAAAAGGGATTGGTTAGTATCCATCTCTTTATGTATGAATTTTATTTACATTAGTTATAGTAATATGCAGAATTATGCATGCGTATTTGATTCCCCTCCTCTGTGCATAATAAAACATCTGGAAAGTCCCGATTCTTAATTTCACTTTGACACTAAATAAAATACCTTGTTATTACAGGAACAATCATTTTAGCATAAATTTCGGTTGATCTTTGGATTATGGTAACTTGGCGATTTTTTGGCGACCAACTCTGCTATAGCAACCCTCTATTTTTTTTTTCGCCACCATATTTCTTTTCTTTTTATTTACTCAACACTTTTTCCAACAATCTGCTAGCCGAATTACACTTATGCTAGAAATTTTATGGAACAAAACTGCTTAATCATGACAAATGTTAACTGCAAAATTGGGAAAAAGTGCAGAATCGCAAACTCCTTGCCGCGTTTTTCAAAATCGCACATACACAGTAACCATGTACACGTCGACTTATTTTTACTTAAAAAAACATCCCAGAATTGCACAAAAATGGCATTGCGCACACTCTTAACTTTATCCATCTAAACTGCTATTTTCTCATAAATTACAAAAATTTGCACGAAAATGCAAGAAAATTTTGTGAATCTTTAAACTTGGTAAAAAGCACATATATGAAATTACCTGATCGCGAAAAAGTATATACCCTATCCAAGGATGAACATTTCCATGTATAATATAAATAAAATATCCAAAAACTTTTACCTCTAAATTATCTATTATAAACGTAACCAACAAATTCATAACAAAACATTAAAAATGGTTACAAATACTTACTGTCAAATATTTAAATTATTTCCATGCACGTTTGCATCCACTCAAACGTATACCAAATTGCTACAAACATATAATTCACAAAATAACTATCATTTAATTAAAATATAATTAAACCATGTACACGTCGACTTATTTTTACCTAAAAAAACATCTCAGAATTGCACAAAAATTGCATTGCGCACACTCTTCACTATATCCATGTACACTGCTTTTTTCTCATGAATTAGAAAAATGTCACGAAAATGCATCAAAATTTTGTGAATCTTTAAATTCAGTAAAAAGGACATATATGAAATTACCTGATCGCAAAAAAGTATATACCCTTTCCAAAGATGAACATTTGCACGTATAAAATAAATAAAATATCCAAAAACTTTTACCTCTAAATTATCTATTATAAACGTCACCAACGAATCTATAACAAACATTAAAAATGGTTACAAATACTTAGTCTCAATATTTAAATTATTCCATGCACGTTTACTTCCACTGAAACATATACCAAATTGCTCAAACATATAATTCAAAATAACTATCATTTAATTAAAATATAATTAACCATGTACACGTCGACTTATTTTTACTTAAAAAAACATCCCAGAATTGCACAAAAATGGCATTGCGCCAACGATTTCTTATAACAGGTAGACGGCTCACCCACAGAGAATTTGTCTGCTAGGATGTCTCCAACATATACCACATGACTAATGCTCTTGGCACTCTTGGGGAGTGATAGCTTAGACTGTTCATCGCCAGTTTGGCCCGCTTTTGATATGGCAAGTAGTGCTTTTTATTTCCGTCTCCTAGCAGTCAGCAGACAACGACCTCGAATTAGGTTGTTCGATTTTTTACAATTATATTTAGATATAACTTAACCCCTTTTTTCCTGAATATTTTATCTATATTTTTAATAATCGCTTTAAATTATTTGCACCATTGTTTAAGATGTTTAGGTTAAATAATTTTAGGAAGAAAATCTAAAATAAATAATAAAAAATGAGATGGAAACTTTAATTTGAATAACGTTAAAAAATTAATTGCACTACTGTTATAATATTTGAGAAGGTAAAAAAATCTCGTTTAATTTTAATGCATTGCATCCTAAAGAGACAAAGAAAATCACATTGTATTACATGTATTTATGCCATTGATGAAATATATACTTACAGACTGTTGACTTTCAGCTGGAACTATAAACTATTACTGTCCAAACTTAATATAGTTTATGATACAAAAAGATAAATTATACTGAATTAATTAAAATTATGTTTACTTAAATATATGAAAGTAAAATATTAAAGAAAAATATTTTACTTTCATATATTTAAGTAAACATAATTTTAATTAATTTAAAGTCAGAAATAGTTTTTGGAAGAATTTCATTTACTTTTGACCTCTCGGTGTTAGCAATAGTACTTGCATTATGGAAATGTAGGATAGTAAAGAATTTTTTATTTTTAAAAAGATCTTTATTAAGTAATTGATTATGCCCATTTTATTCAGTTACTTGCATATTAAAGTGCTTATAAATTCAGCAATGTCCAGAAAATAATTTCATGCAAACTTGGAAGCTACTGCCTTAACTGTACATTAAATTTAGTAAGATTTCATATTTTGCAGATCAGCTGTAAAATGTACATTTTCAAAATAAAATTTTCTTTCTGAATTATAAATTCAAACATGACAATACATATTCTATTTTATTCCTGTATCCCAATTAAATAAACACATTATGAAAATGTGCATTTAAATATAGTATTTACTATAAAGTAAGTGGCTTAATTACAAATAAACACTCAAAAATTAAGTAAAACAAAAATATACTACTTATCATGAACACTAATCTTTTAAACGTGAGCAGAACGCACGTTTTGAATAAAAAGTTTTCGCTCTTCACCAGCTGCAAAGGATCCAACTTGCATCTGATGAAGAAGAAATAAAGCTTTTCGATTGAAAAGCATGTCCTGCTCATATTTTAAAAGTTTGGTGTTCATACAAAGTAGTATATTTTATTTTAAGTGGATTAATGCTTTATTTTATTTATTAAAATTATTTATTCTAAAGTATATCAAGAACAAGTACTAAAAATCACCTACTCAAAATGGTAGTCAAGTATATTCCAAATTTCTTATTTTTGATATGTGAATAAGTAATGAGCTTTTTTTAAAACAAAAAACACACAATTTGGCCAAAATATAGAAACTAGTTATTGTTATATACTACATGAATAACTTTATGAAATACAATAATGCAATATAATATGAAATACAATAATAATAACCTTTTTTTCCTGAATATTTTATCTATATTTTTAATAATCGCTTTAAATTATTTGCACCGTTGTTTGTTGCACCCTATATATGGCTCTAATATGAAAAAGTTGACTTATCAAACTTCTTTTATTTATTATTATTATTTTTGGAGATGGTATATATTTTTAAAAAATTAGCTTGTCGAACCACTGAAATCTTTATAGATATATAAAGAATGTGATATTTACTTTTAAAAAATGAATACATAAAACAATGTAAATAAAATACAAACTACAAATTAAAAATACATGCTTTTATTTTTAAAAATACAGGACTTGAATAAAACTTAAAATATTATTGTCCCTTAAAAAGTGTAATTTTTGTGTTAACACTACGTACGTTTTTGTTCTGAAGTTTTTCTGTTTCAACTTTACCTGCATAGTACAGTCGTATTTTCAGGTATTCAAACAGAATGGCTTTTATCAAAGAACTTCTATGGTTATCTAAAGGCTCATGATTTAAAATATGTTCATGCATGCCTAAAAATATATTTGGAGAGTTTTCTATTATACATTTAACACTATCTGAAATTAATGAAGCCATAATGTTTTTTTGTTTAAGTTTTCCAGAAGCTTGGGTGGTTCGAAAAGATTTCTCAGCTGCTCTACATATCTTCACAACACTACCAGATGGAACTATTAATCCTCCCCTATTTTTTCTACCTAATAATTTACTTTGTGTATAATCAACTGTTGTTAAACCAACATCAGACAGAGAATATATACAAGTATCACATTTTAATGCATTTTTCAATTTTTTAACAACACTACCAGCAATGTATGCAACAACATCACTAACAAAGTCTGAGAATTGTTTACAGCTTGTTAATGCAAAAGAATGATCTTCAGTAACACAATTCTCAGAAAAATTAAAATCACCTTTAAAGGTATCTGTGGAGTTGAAATTGATTGACTTCAAGTACATATTAGTGGAACTGCTCACATTTAAAATATTTGTATCGTCTAAAACGATGCAATTTGCACTACCTGATGTCATTATGTGATGGTGCATCAGTAAGCGAACATATGCTGCTTTAAATTGTTTTGCAGTAGGGTTGTTGTTGTGACCACCTTTTGTGCGTATGGCACTGAAAAATAACTCAAGGTGGTCCTGTGATAATTTGTATGTCAGGAAAAAGTTTAATGGGTGAGGTGAAATTTCACACAGCTCAATATATAACGATTTAATACTATTGATGCAAACTAAAAATCCTGTTTTCCTGTTGCTATGCAATATGTATTCTCCAATTTTACTTGTTCTTAAGTTTTTTATGTATTCTTGTGCTGTATTTAAGAAATTTAATATAGTATCTTTATTTTGGGGCTTAATTGGAGATTTAAAATCTTTACTTAATAGGTTTTTGCTGTTTAAGATGTCAAAAAGGCTATTGAATATTTTTAAAAAATTTTATGGTTGGAGCACAGCCAATGAATGTGGGGTGTTTTAAATCGTTTTCTAAATATAAAAGAGCATCAGCAACACTATTACTGAGAACCTGGGCTGCAAGTTTAACCTTCATTTTTTCACGATACCATTCTATGTGCCGTGCCCGTAACTTTGTTGCAGCATGAAGGCCTTGCTCCTTTTGAAATTTTTCTAAATTGATTATATGCTCCCACAAAATGAAGCCACTGTCACCATCAACAATGGATCCTTTTGATGCCAAGCAATTTCTAACAAGCTTCAACATATGGCAAGGATCCATTATGACATACACATTGTCTCCGGTGGCAGGGTGTGGAAAATAATTGATTAAATTATTGCTTTGTAAATTTGCACCTAATGCATTTGCAGTTGCAATATTGCTACTGCAACCATCAAATGTCAAACTTATAATTCTAATGCCAGTCTCTTGAAGATAATGAAGGGCCTCATTAATAAGATTGGCT